TTTCTGGAGCAGAGTGTAGATGCCTGGGCCATGTCACTGGGCTCTCTTCCTAAGCAGGGAGTCCATCACGGTGTCCCTGTCCACCCACAGACACCCTGCTCACCCTGCCAGGCTCAGCTAAGGCCATGCCCCCTTTCTGCCTCAGTGGGCCCCTGCTCACCAGGGCTCAGCCTATGCAGCTGAGGGAACCTCAAGGCAAGCCCTGGAGCTTACTTTTCTCTGTCTCTCCAAGAGCCCACCAAGAGTCCTGCTCCCAGCCCATCCTCGGAGAGGGTATCCAGGGTGACCCAACCCATGATGGGGGGAGGGACTGAGTGGCGGGCCGGGTGTGGGAGCTGACACCCACAGCCCAGGCACCGCTGGGGCCACGTCCATACTACAAGCTGGAAAGCTGCTAAGGAGTGGGAGCAGCCCAAAGGGCCCAAGGTCTTGTCCATGAGCCTCTAAGTCCCACCCACGGAGGCTGGGGCTGGGCTGTGGGGATGAGGCATATGCCAAGCACTCATGAGGCCAGGATCCAGGGCCACAAGGACCCCTGCCCGGTGGACAAGGACCCAGACCCCGAGAGCGACCTGAGGAGTGTTTAGGAAGGGTCTGCTATCACTGGAACCCTGACTGAGCAGGGTTTGGGCCCAGGAATCTCCTTTCTGGCCCTTGGAGGTGTGGAAGGGGCTCATGGTCCACATGATTCCCCAGGCCTGCCCATGACCCACCTTTGGGGGCATGGGCACCATGCCTGCCCTTCAGGCTGCTTTTCTGCCCCAGAGAAAACAGACAGGAGCAAAACCACCCCCAGGGGGAAGTGCCATCAGAGGCTGCTGACAGCTGGCAAGTCTGAATGATCCAGCAGCTGGCCCTGCTCGTGGGCCTCCAGCCTGTTCTGCCCAAGAGGGGGCTTTGTTCCTCGAGAGGAAGAGGAAATGCTGTCCTCCCATGCAGGCGCGGACAGCATGCCACTCAGCCAGCAGGAGGAAGGGCGGCGGCCACGGCAGGGCAGCTGAGGAGCAGCCCGGGCATGGGGCCATCTCCCAGCCGCCAGGGAGCACCGTCCCCGTGAACGCCCAGGCGAGCTGACAGGCCCTCTGTCTCGGTTTCCTCATCGGGAAAGTGGGGTGGCACATGCACACCTCACAGGTCAGGGGTGAGCGCAGGCGTGCTCATATGCACGAGAGCACCCTGACCCACACCAAGGGCCTGTGCAGGGAGGTGCACCATGGCCAGCCCGAGTGCCCTGCATCTCCCTGGACGCTCATGGTGCCCGGATGCATCCCGTGGGTAAGTGCAAAGTGGGCTATGGGGTGGGCGGACCCCAGCCAGGACCAGAGCCAGGCATTGAAATAAACCACAGGCTGTCACAATGCCACGGGTGGTCTAGACTCAGAGAATCCGCAGAAAGGTGATTAAATGCAGGATCAGCTCCTAGAAACCCACAAAAGCCAGTAGCAAATGACCACAGTTCAAAGTGTCACTCTGCTACAAGCCAGGGGCCAGGGGACTTTGGACAAGGTGTTCTTGCCTGGACCCCGTCCCATTCCCACCGTGGCAAAGCACTGGAACCCAGTCACAGGGCAGGGGCTCCACGAGAGCTAAATGTCCTCACTCCCAGCCGCTGTCCTGGGACTCTCAACTCAGCAAGACCCTCTTTCACCCGGGCCCCTTGTCAGTCACAACCTTGTTAACATTCCGGGAATCCACAGGGCCCTTCCACCCACACAGCTGCTGCTGGGGCAGCCTCGCCCTCCCTTCTCTGGACCAGAACCAGAACATTTTCATGGCTCCCTGCTTCCTCTCTTCCTCCAGTCCCATCTGAACCTGGGGCCAAAATGACTGTCTATGGCTGGCTATCTCTTTTTTTTCCTGAGAGAGTTTTGTTATTTGTTTGTTTTGTTTTTGCTATAGGGCACATGCACTCGCCAGGGGGAGAGACAGAGAAACAGAAAGCAAGAAATCACCTGCTGGGGGGACAGCCATACTGCAATCCCTTCTTCTCTGTTCTCCTCTCAGGATTTTGGGCACGCACACACACGCGCCTGGTGTGAATTTCAACCTGCTGGGTTGGAACTCAAACTGCATTCGACTACATTGGAGTCCAGCCACATAATACATCATCTGCTGATCCCCAAATGATTGTCTTAAACATCCTTCCCCTGCTCAAGCACTGTCAATGGCTCCTTACTGCCCTGAGAACACCATGCACACACTGGTCCACTTTACACAGGTACCACTTCTTCTCAACCAGCCCCTCCGTCCCCCACCCACACCTGGAGAGCTGCCCATTGCTGTGGTCTGACGTGCTTCAATTTAGTGAGCCGTGGAGATGGTGTCGAGAGGCGGGGCCTCAGAGAGGTGTCTGTGATTGAGCCCTGGTGGGTGTAAAAGGAGAAAACCGAGCCAAATAAGCCCCTATTCTTAGACAGCTCCAGACGCAGGTATTTCCTTATCAGCTGCACTCGCCAGGGGGAGAGACAGAGAAACAGAAAGCAAGAAATCACCTGCTGGGGGGACAGCCATACTGCAATCCCTTCTTCTCTGTTCTCCTCTCAGGATTTTGGGCACGCACACACACGCGCCTGGTGTGAATTTCAACCTGCTGGGTTGGAACTCAAACTGCATTCGACTACATTGGAGTCCAGCCACATAATACATCATCTGCTGATCCCCAAATGATTGTCTTAAACATCCTTCCCCTGCTCAAGCACTGTCAATGGCTCCTTACTGCCCTGAGAACACCATGCACACACTGGTCCACTTTACACAGGTACCACTTCTTCTCAACCAGCCCCTCCGTCCCCCACCCACACCTGGAGAGCTGCCCATTGCTGTGGTCTGACGTGCTTCAATTTAGTGAGCCGTGGAGATGGTGTCGAGAGGCGGGGCCTCAGAGAGGTGTCTGTGATTGAGCCCTGGTGGGTGTAAAAGGAGAAAACCGAGCCAAATAAGCCCCTATTCTTAGACAGCTCCAGACGCAGGTATTTCCTTATCAGCAACAGAACAGATACTTGGCTTATGTCCGGAGCGCCCCCTTTTCTTTCCCCAACCTTCCACACAATTTGACAACCGGGCAAACTCCTATTCACCCTGCAGAAGCCCTCTAAGGTTGACCTCCTTCAGAGAGCTTCCTCTAACATGCCCAGGCTGAGCTCTGCATCCCTCCCCGACTCCCCTCTTGCCCTCTGGGGACCCTAAACTCCTCATTTCTCAGAGGCTCCGAGGCCTCTGACCCCTGCACCCTGGGCCCCGTGAGGAGAACTGAACACACGCCCTCAAGCCCCTGGCATCTGAGGATCAGAGAGCAGGGCTCCCACCTGTTCTGATTACCCTGCAAGCCTGCCAGCCCCCAGGGGGTTTCGGAGCGGGCAGACACCTGTGCTCTACACACAAAAGCGTCTTCCGGCAGGGGGTTCACGCTTCACTCACCTTAAAAAATCACAATCAGGGAACCAGCAGTTAGCGTAATGGCTATGTCGCTGGACTCCCATGTAGTCGACTGCGGTTCATGTCCTGGACCCGGTGGCTTAAAACTCACGCCGGGCGTGGTGCATGCGTGCCCAAGATCCCGAGAGGAGAATGGAGGAGAAGGGATTGCGGCGTGACCATTCCCCCTGGGGGGTGATTTCTCGCTTTCTGTCTCTATGTCTCTCTCTGTCTCTCTGGCGAGCGCACGCAACCTATAGTGAAAAACCTCTCCAAAAAAAAAAAAAATCACAATCATTGAAAAATGCTCTCTGTGCCCCTGAGAAGGCTGGGAAGTGGCAGACACAGTCCCTGGACTGGACCCAGCAGGAGAGAAGACACGGGACAGCAGGAAGCAGGGCCTGTGGCTCAGCACCGAGGACCTGGGGCTGTGGGGCACCGGGAGAGCGTGACAGGAGCTGGATTCTGCACTGCAGGTGAGTAAGTCCTACTTGCACCCGGGGGCCCTCACCACCAGGTTGCCCCCTCAGAGGAGAACACAGACCCCATGACATGGCCTTGGGCCACTGGCCAGTCCCCTGGTCCCTTACAGCATCCCTTCCACTTGCAGTTTCCACATGGCCTCTTATCCTTGCAGGGACCCACTAAAATGTGTGCTCGGACTTTGAGTGTCAGAATCTCACATGGCCACGGGTGTCAGAATGTAACGTATCCCCATCACGTGCCACCATGGGCGACCACGAATCTTGTTCCTGAGGAATTGGGTGCTCAGGCATGCAGCCAAAGCTTAAAGACCAGAGAAACCAGTCTCCCTGCCAAGGCCCGTAAGCCTTAAATGTGCTCTCCAACCCCCTAGAGAGCTCAGCCCAGGCACCCCTCTGAGGAAGGGCTCCAGTGAGCAGCCAGCACCAGAGTGGGCGTAACGGTACCCCAGAAGGCGGTCACCATAGCACCTCTGGCATGGCCTCAGGCACCAGCTGGGTTCTGCCCAGCTCTCTGCGCCACCGGGGTCCCAGCACCCAAGGACCCTGTTCCTCTGTTCAAGGCCGGGTTCACGCAGCCGTGGAGATGCCCTTGAAGTGCCAGTTAAGGGCAGACACGTGCTCTCTGCTAGGAACTGCTACTCATCCCTACGGCCCAGCCCAAGCATCCCTGCCCTTCTAAGGTTTCCCTTCCTGCACTCAAGGAGGGGTGCCCTCTCAGGGCCCCTACTTTCTCTGCTGCCAGCTGGCTGTGCCACCCAGGGCGAAGGTCCCTCGGCCTCTCTCCCCACCATCGCCTCTGGCCTGTCCCTGCAGGCATGGCCATGTGTGTCCTGCCCCAGCCCTGTCACCCAGCCCCTGTACCCAGGGTTGCAACAAGGACATCACTGCTCAGCTCAGACGGTTTCCCATGACAATCTGGACACCAGCTTAAGTTAGAGCTGTGGCCAGCCTTTTCTCTGGGGAAGAATGGAGCCCAGTGTCCTTCTGGGGACAGAGGGAGAGCAGGCCCAGCTGGTCCTCCAGCCTGACCTTCAGTACTGGGTGGTAGAACCTGTTTGCCCATGGAGCTCGGAGCGGGGTGGAGACAGACTCCCACGAGCACCCTCCCCTGGACCAGGCCCTATACAGGACCAAGAACAGCTGGCCCTGGGTGCTGCATTACAGGGGCCTCTGTTGCGCCAGCCACGGCTGCAGGATGGAGCTAACTCAAGACCTTGCTGGGAAGAAGCAGCATCAGGGTGGCCCTGTAATAGTTCACCCTGATTTTCTAGCAACCCAGGAAAACACAACCTCCTCCTGCCACTCTGACGCCTCGGATTGTTTGCAAACGGAAAAGCAGCCCACCCACACCAGGACACCGAATTTAAACTCAGATGCCTCAGAGGAAAAATATCCTGTGGGCCTCAGTCCATTCTGTCCGGGACAAAATAAATAGGTCTCCGAGGAAACAGGTCCTCCTGCCCTGCCCCGGCTTGGAGAGGGAGCCGTTCCCTGCCAGTGCCTGGGAATTCAGAGGGGGCAAGGGCATTGCCCCTCCTCCAGGTGTGCCAAGCAGCTCCAGGCCCCCAGGGCTGCACGGGAAGGCAGGCTGCTAGTGTCCAGGTGACTGGCATAGCTTGTGACCATCTGCGTATGGAGGGAAATGAAGCCAGCCACTCCAGCATGCCCAGACTTGGTCGCCCTGATCACCCCCACCCCTGCAGCTCCAGTACCCAAGTGCTGCCACCCCCAACCTGCCAGAGCGTGAGCCCCAGGCTCACCCAGCAGAGAGAACTCTGGCAGCCCCCTGTCTCACCCCTCCCGCCCACGGCCCCAGAGCAGGTGGGGGAAACAGTTGTGCTCACCCAGGCCTCCTGCTGCCTCAACAGGAATGGAGCCTTACCTCTTCCTCCTCCACCTCTCTGCTCAACATCTGCGTGGTTATGTCTTGCCTCGTCAGAAACCCTGACAAGGCTGGCTTCCACAGCGAGACCCACTGGGTTTGCCCAAGGGCCTTCCAAAACATGGAACCCTCGGGGGCTTTTACCCACCTCCCACCCAGCCCTTGCAGAACGGCGGGTCTGGGTGCCCGGTGTCTGGCACAACTCGGGTGCCTTCCAGCTTGTCCACGCTCTGTCTGAAGAGCCCAGGCCATTCTGCAAGGCCCAGAGGCTGAAGGACACCCAGGCCTGGCCAGATGCCGGGCTAAGCCCTTCACGTGTCCTCTCATGTCACACGACAGCGGGGGTTAATGCCCCCTCACGGAGAAGGGCACGCGAGGACAGTCCTAGCCAGAGCCTCCATCCCCTCCTCTGAACAAAGTGGGGGGCAAGGATTCCTTAAAGGAGTTGGGGGTGCTCAGAGCATGTGGCTTACCCCAGGTCCTGCCCCTTTACCCAGCACACAGACCCTCACCGGCCCCTGTGGGCAGCCAGCATAGACAAGGGCCTCCCGCTCTGGAGAGAGAGGAGGGGGGCTCTGAGCCCTCCCACAGTGACTGCAGGCCCACCGAGCGGCCCCTCTGGGTCCTCACCCCCCCACCCGGGAGGACAGTGCATAGGAGACCTTCGAATGACCCCATCCCTGCAGTGACCCCTGGCAGGGCACCTCAAGGTCTGTATGAAGTGAGGGGCTTTCCTCCAACCCTGCCCCAGATGGGCCATGCTTGGATGCACGCTCTGGTCCACGACCGCCTCTCCGAGGACAGGCCTTCACGCCTCCCGCGTCAGGGGCCTGCCCGCCCCTTCCACACCTTGGCCGCCTCACTGGGGACATGGAGCAGCTCTGCACAGCTGCTCAGGCCGCAGGGGCTAGTGTGCCCATGAGGAAGTCCTGGTCACTGACTGCACTGCCCTCTGTGTGACACCCTATGGGGTGCTTTCTCTACCTCTTTTTTTATTTTTTTCATTAAACCTGAACACAAGTAGCTGATGCACTGTGACCTCGGGCACGGGGTGTCACAGGGCCGTAAGCTGTTGGGGCGCGAGGTCCCCTGGGTCCCTCACCGGGGAGGAGCAGGGATGCCAGCCAGGGCCTAGGGGCAACACAAGCCGAGTTTCTGTCTGCAGAGCGACTACGGACATCGAGGCGTGGCAACACACAACCAACCACCCACCAGGGTCCCAGATGGCAGCCAAGCAAGCCTGGGAGCGGCCGGCCAGCTCACACCAGCAGTTTCGGGCAGGTGCGAGCTGACCACGGTGTCCCCATGCGCCCAGAATACTTACAGTACCCACACCTCGTCCCGCCTTCGAAGATAAATCCATTTGGCACGGCCCCATAGCGCCGGAGGTCGGACAGCTTCCATTGCCCCGTGACAGCTGGAGGGACGTCCCTGGCCAAGACGAGGATGTCATTGCAGAGGTGGAGGGTGGCTGGGCCGCTCTCCAGCTTGGTGCCAGGAGCCACCGTCACATGGAACCTGTGCACTGAAGGGCCAGGCAGGGGGCAAAAGGGCATCACCAGGAGGAGAGGGCAGAGAGGCTGGGAGCAGGCAGGGAGGGGGTGCAGCACCCCAGTGTCCCCGAGGGGGAGGGGGGCCGGCGTGGCTCCGCAGAGGACAACATGTGCCTCACATGATTTTCAAGCTGCTGGGTCTGGGACTCGAACAACCATTGGCCCTGTGGGAGCCCTGTGCCTTAACCACCACATCACCTGCTGGTCCCAGAGAAATGGTATTTTAATAAGATAAAATTGAGCTCTGAACTGTGCTTGTGCATTCCTCTACCCTGACTTGATCGGGCCACCTGACCCACCCTTCCTTAAAGACTTGGGACCAGCAGATGGCATAATGCTTATATCGCGGGATTTTTAAAAAATAGAAAGTAGGGCTGGGCCCATAGCCTAGTGGTTAAGGGAGTCAGCTACCACATGGCCAGCCACGGATCAAATCCCAACTCCAACAGTTTGAAAAACACCCTAGGTGCACATACATGCGGGCCCAAAATCCTAACAGGAGGGGGACCTGGAGGGGAAGTGATTGCAGAGTGACCACACCCATTAGGGGTGCTTTGTCTCTCTGTCTCACTTCCTCTCTCTGTCTCTCTCTGGAAAGTGAGCGGGCCCTCTGGCAATTAGAATACATAAAGACAAGGTATTAGGAGTTCATGGTGAACAAAATACCAAATTTTTTCCTTCTTTTTATTTTTTTTAAGAAATTTTTGCTATAGTGCACATGTGCTTGCCAGAGAAAGACAGTCAGAGAGACAGAAAGTAAGAAATCACCCCCAGGGGGATGGCAATGCTGCAATCCCTTTTCCTCCATTCTCTTCTCGGGATCTTGGGCATGTACACACACACACACCCAGGGTGAATTTTAAGCTGCTGAGTCTAGGACTCGAACAGTGGTCGACCATGTGGGAGTCCAGTAACAAACCATCTTGCCACCTGCTGGTTCTAAAATACCACGTTTTTAAGGCAGGTGGGTCAGGGTTGCTGGATCAGGTCAGGTGAGGGGGCGTGCAGCACAGGTCAGAGGTTAATTTGATCTAAAACTGGGAGGTTTTGTTCATTGTGCGGTTTTTGTACTGATTTTGATATTTTAGAAAACCCTGAGTTAAAATAGTGCTGCCCTTGCTGGCCGAGGGTTTGGCACCCCAGATGCGTGCACCCACCTAGTCCCAGCCCTGCGGCTCCTGCAGTCAGTCCCAGGCCCGGCGTCTGAGCCTCTGCTCAGTGCTCTGGGCCCAGCCCACCCGTCCCGGGTCCCCTGAGATGCCTGCTCCCCACCAGGGTAGCCACCTCACTTCCCTCTGTCACACAGGGAGCTCACCCTGTCGGCCTGGCCTCCCTGCAGGACTGTGACGGGGGACAGGCGTTTGTGTGCTGGGTCGGCCTCCTCTAGAGCAAACCTCCCCAGGACAGCACGGCCCTCCGACCCCCAGCCTTCCTTGGACGCAGGTGGGAGCCCAGGCCCTGACTCCACCCTCCCGTATGGGAAGACAGCCCCTCCCTGGCCCGGCCTGCTCCTGCTCCAGGTACCGCCACCCTCTCCTCATGCATGGGTTCTGGGTGGGAACACCAGGTGAGAAGCAAGGGGCAGGACCCTGGGAGGCCGCTCACTCTAGACAGACACCAGCTCGAGGTAAAGGTCCAGTTCTGACTAACAGGGTCTTGCTAGGGAGAGTAGAACCCCCGCAGGCTCCCCCACCTCAGATCCTTGGCTCAGGTAGTGACTGGGCTCTGGTGACCCTGCACTCAGCACAAGCCCAGGGCAGAGCAGGGTCTAACCACCGAGAGGCCCACCATCGTCCCGCCATTTCTACATGATTCCTCAGAGCCTCTTCTGCCTCTGAGGCCCAGATGGGCGAGGGGCCCCTGGGGCACTTAAGGAGGGAGGCCCTCCCCTCGGATCCCTGCCCGAGTCACTCACCCTCGCCGAGGGCGTAGCGGATCCGGGCGTCCCAGGCACACATGGCCTCACGGCTGTCGAAGCCCAGCATGACTGCCTGGGACAGGCAGACGATGGCCAGAGTGTGGGCCAGGCCTTCGTAGGGCAGGCCGGGTTCCAGGCCACAGATGTCTTCCAGGGTCAGGCTGCTACGCTCCCGCAGGCCCTTAGCACGATCCGACTTGTCCTTGTAGGCCAGCATCAGCAGGCAGTCTGCACGGGAGAGAGGGGCCGTCAGCGGCACCCCCAAGTCCTCAGTACCCCCCAAGGAGGCCCTTGCACAGCTGGGAAGAGACCTGGTTGGGGGCCTGACCCTGGGTAAGCCACTTACCATTCTAAGCCACTGTGTCCTTGTGTTCAAAACGGGGCACCTCCCTCACCCTGCAAGGCCCAGAGGTCATGAGAGCAGACATGGGCCCAGCAGGGCTGTGCAAGGCCCACCTCACTCCGCCCCCCATGGCTGGGCCCTAGACCTCCACCAGCAACTCTGCCCTGCCCCATCTCTGGAGCCCACCTGGGCCACACTCAGGGCTGCAGGAGTTCGGCTGGTGATTTGGGGGACCCAGCACGGAGCCTGCCCAGCAGTGAGGCTCCCACCTCAGCCCTGCCTATGCTGGCCCAGCCTGCGCCAGCTCCTGCCACACCCAGCCCCACGTCCCCTCTGGTTCTCTTGGTTTCAGGTGTGGGCCTGAGCTCCCGCCCCTTTCTACCCAGCCGCTGCCTCCATTCGCAGGGGCGATGCCTACGTCCCACCTCCCGGACTCTCCTGGGCAATTCCGATGCCCGTCCTCAAGTCCCCACGTCCCAGTATTGCACCTGTCATCACCATCACGCCAGCATGAACGTGAGCGAGTCCCATGCGGCCCACTGGACCCCGGGGTGCAGGTCAAATACAGTACAACGTGTCCAGCCGTGTGGCCCTGGCGAGTCACTCGGCTGCCCAAAGGCACAGCCACGGTGGTGCTGCGTGCCTGACCCCAGAGAACAGAAAGCGCAGTGCAGTTAGAGCTCCTGGGGCTGGCCCCGTGGCTGCTGGTTACGGGAGCCGGCTCCCACGTGACCGGCCGTGTAATGACACCAGGCACATGGGCATGCAGGCCCACAGTCCAAAGGGGACGGAGAGCTGGAGAAGGGGTTGTGGCGTAACCACGCCCCACTGAGAGTTGCGTTCTCCCTCTCCCTCTTTGTCTGTCTCTATCCAGTGAGTCCACACTCCCTCTGGCAGAGTAAATAATAACACAAAGAACAACTAATAACTTAAAAATAATAAAAGCTCCTGGCCCTCCCGGCGTCCATCCAGGCTACACCAAAGGTCTCCCCTCCACCCAGGTTCCTGGCAGGGAGGGCCTCTTCGGTGGGGATGGAGGTTTGGGGTCTTAGGCAGACACCTGAAGTTGCACGTGTGAAGCAACCTCAAGTAGTGCGTGAAGGGGGAGAACCCGAGGACTGCCGAGCGAACCTCCACTTTCAGCCTGTGAGAAGGGCTCCTACTTTGCCAACAGGCCCAGCAAACCCAAGTGAGAACCAAAATCCCAAACGAACTTGACCCGAGCACTGACGTTTGTAACGGCATCCGGAACAGAGCCGTGGTGGTGTGTGTCTGCTGTCCTCCCAGCCCAGCACTCCACGGTCAGAGACTCATGGCCGTGAGAGGAAGCGGGGCCCGAGGGCGGCAAGTGTCCGTGGGAGGACCCAGAGAGCAATGGGTTTTGGCTTTGGGGTAGCACAAAACAGCCACGGCTGGAATGAGGGATGTGGTGTGACAATAACATTTTACTTAAAAAATAGAGACTGAGGGGCCAGCAGTTAGCATAATGGCTATGTCGCTGGACTCCCACGTAGTTGACCGCGGTTCGCGTCCCGGACCCGGTGGCTTAAACTCGCACCAGGCACGTGTGCGCACGTGCCCAAGATCCCGAGGGGAGAATGGAGAAGGGATTGCGGTGTGGCCATCCCCCCTGGGGGGTGGTTTCTTGCTTTCTATCTCTCTGTCTCTGTCTGTTTGGCGAGCACACACGCCCTATAGCAAAATCCTCTCAAAAAAAAAAAAAAAAAAGACAAAACAAAAACAAAATAGAGACTGAGAGGGGCGGCAGGGGCTTTCACTTCCTATTTGAGAACCTGTCCAGTGTCTGAAATGTTACAACTGGAAAAAAATCAGAGGCATTCCCAGGTTGAGAAAGAAGCCCACAGAACCCACAGAACGCCACCTGCCCGCGAGGTGTCGAGCATGAGCTCCTGGGAAGCGGCCCAGGAAGACAGCCTTTTGGAGACTCATAAACGGAAAACAAGAATCTAACCAAGAGACAAATAAACCAAACAAGGTAGCATAAACAGAAGGTGTCATTATGGAAACGTCCCCCAAAACATGTCACCGAGCACCCAGCAGTGAAAACGTAAGGGACATGTAGGAGGACAGGGAGGCAGTCTCTGTGGAGCAGCCATCAAGGGGCAGCCAGAGTACTGTGGCCACCCCAAGCTCTGCGACACGGTTCATGGCCCTCTGTGGCAGAGGTATCTCGTGGGATGGCTGCCTGGTCACCTCTGCCGCCAAAGGCCGCAGCCCTGAAGAGCTCAGTAACATTCAGGTGGAGTGGCCAAGGCTTCCACCGTGGAGAGTCACACCTCACACAGGGCTACACCCCTTGCCACATCATGGGCCCTCCCAAAGGGCAAGGCCCAGTGGGACCTTCTGTCCCACAGCCATATGGCCTTTGGGAGGCCTCTGGAGGTCTTGGCCTCAGTGTCCCCATCTGGAACGTGGGGACAACAGGAGCACGCCTGCAGCAATGCCGAGAGGGCCCTCTTTGGGAAGGCGTGTGGAGCTCCGCACACAGTCCATGCCCAGCGTGCATCTCCGTGTGTTCCCGTGTCATACTAGGCTAAACATCTGTCTGCATCGCCAGGTCTGACGCTGCCTAGGTTCCCTGTGGCTCAGGCTACCAGGTGACCCGCATGTGACCCCCCCACGTCAGCCCTTCCTCCCTGTGGCCCCACTCCATGGTTGCCACGCTACTGCCCTGGACTGCTTCTGCCACTGCCTCCTGAAACCCACTGTGTGACCCTCAGTTCCTCGGGCACCCCCACCTCTCCCCACATGGACACTCTGGGCCCGGACACCCCTTCTCTCCTCTGACCATCAAGGTTCCCAGTCCTCACCCAGAGCAGCAAGAGGACACAGAGCATGAGTGCCCCCCCACGAGGGCCTCCAGTGACATCCTCCACTGGGAGTCGAAGCTGGGGTCCCTCTCCAGTCACAGAACCCCGAGATCTGTCCTCACCACTCTGCACAGGCCGCTTCTCGGCGCACACCTGCCTTTCCACCCTCTCAGGCCTCCCCTGCAGAGGGACTCGCCAGCCCAGTCCAGCGTCCTTCAATGTGCACCTTCAGGCCGCCTCACAGAGCCCCTCTTGACCGCCCACGTCCAACTCCCATCCTTAGGCAGTTTCCTGTGCCCTCGCCTATTCTGAGCTCCCAAAGGCAGCCCATCTCTGCCCCTGCCCAGTGACAGCCCTGTGGCCCGGCTCAGCACCGGCACCTGGGACGTCCTGTCCGTTGAAAGACCACCGCCCAGCATGGCAGGGCGCACTGTCACCTCTCTTGTTCAAGAAGATATGCTCCCGATAGATGAGGTGTCAACGCACATTCTGGTAAGGGCCAGAGAGTGCGCCTTTTCGGCTCTGCAGGGCTTACAGTCCCCACCACAGCCATGGAAGGCAGCCATGGACATCACCGAGGTGACGTAGGGCTCCATTCCCCTGTGATTTGCACTCCCGGTCACTGCCGGAAATGGCTAAGACAGCCCCCCACGTTGCCTGCTTCCGAGCAGGCCTCCCCTCTTCTGGATGGACGTCCACACTTGCGAGACTGGCTCTGGGGATCCACGTGCAGGACCCCAGTTAGTCCCTGAAGCCTTCTCCTTGATTCATTGATGCGACTCCTCAGCCTGCCTGACCTTTCTGGACTATGTCTACAAATACAGACCCACAACTGGCACCTTAAGGGCACCTAAGAACCAATGGGCGCCTTTGTGAGCCTGCAGTGAGCGCGACAGTGGCCCCAAAGAGCTAGGTCTGCTCCTAACCCCAGTCCCTGTGTGACCTCATTTGAGGAAAGGGTCTTTGCAGTTGTGATCAAGTTAAGGATCTTAAGATGAGACTGTTAGCTATCTGTGGGCCCTAAGCCCAGTAGTAAGTGTTCCGGGAGAGACAGAAGAGGGGGCACGGGCACACAGGAGGCCGGGTGATCGCAGACAGAGGCAGAGGCAGCAGTGATGTGGCCACAGGCCAGGAACATCTGGAACCACCAGGAGCAGAGAGAGGCAGAAGGATTCTGCCCTGGGGCCTTCAGAGGGAGTGTGACTCGGGACACCTGGACATGCGACTCTGGCCTTCAGAGGGAGTGTGGCTCTGAGGACACCTGGACATCTGCCTCTGGTCTTCGGACTATGACCTGGTGTTCGAAGCCCCCAGTTTGTGCTGCTTCGATACAGCAGCCCCAGGAAAGTAACACACCTTCCAAGAACGATAATTAAATATGAACAGAACAGGGTGGTGGTCAGTGCCCCACGAAGCACGTACCTCCTGCCCGGCTCCAGCGGCTGACACCCACCCCTAACCTCAGTCCTCAGGGTGGGAGAGGCTGCGTGGGAGTGGTGAGTGGGGGCCCAGTGGGCGCTGCAGGAGCAGCTGTTCCCACCCCCGTCCCCCAGCACCTTTGTGCGATAAATCCACCATGTTTAAAAACCCCATTCTGTGGAGAGCGCGGGTCAGCTCAAAGCATCTGCAGGAACAGGCAGAGGAACAGAAACTCAGGGCCGGGCCTGAGGCAAGCCAGGTCGGGCTGGGGAGCAGCACCTGCAGAAACATGGGCTCTGCCTGCCAGGGCACCGCCAGGCTGCAGCCTTCCCTGGGGACCCCGGCCAGAGGCAGAAGAGGGAGGAGAGTCTTGAGGGTTCTGGGCGGGGCGAAGGGCACCAGGGTTGCTCCAGTGAAAGGAGACGAAGGTAAGGCAGAGTCCATGGGGGAGAGTGTCGCAGATGTAAACCATCGTGGCGAGGGCCAAGGTGGTGAGGCAGGCGCACACTCACACACACACTCACACTCACATCACTCACACATCACATCACTCATACACACACACTCACATCACTCACACATCATTCAAACACACACTCACACACACACTCACACACACTCACACATCACACACGCACTCACACACAT